TTTTTCAGTGTACTTGAATGCTTTTGTTTAGATGTAAAATGAAAAAAGTAATGCACTATTTGTCTCTTTCTTATATTTGTTCTATGTTGTTGTTTTGCATCTGTTCTTATTTTTAATAACTACGATAATATAAAAATGGCTATATTGTGATTATTAATAAAGTAAGTAATATTAAGAAATGCAATGCAATGTTGCTGGGTGATTTTGCTTTGGATCCTTCAGAAAACTTCAACTTGAGTTTTCTCAGAACTGACTGCTGACTTCGACTTCAAACAGGTGTAGCTCAGTCATTTTTTGTCCAATTCCAACAAATCATAGATCATTTTTAAAGGGTTAGTTCACCCAAAAATGAAAATTAGCCCATGAATTACTCACCCTCAAGGCATAGGTGTATATGACTTTCTTCTTTCAGACGAATCCAGTAGGAGATATATTAAAAATGGTCTTTGCTATTCCAAGCTGTTTAATGGCAGTCAGCGGGAGTTACAGTGCATCAGTCCAAAAGAAGTGAAATAAAGCGCATCCATCCCGGGGGGTGAACAAAGGCCTCCCTGTAGCGAATCGATGTGTTTTTGTAAGAAAAATATCCATATTCAAAACTTTATAATCACTTTAATGTAGCTTGCGCTCACTGTTGTACACTGGAAGCAGTTCCGGGCGGATGACGTATGAGGTCAGCGCTGCGCATGCGCCGGTGAGTCTCGTGAAAACCAACGTTTGTTTACAGGAGCAAAGGAAGCAAAGTTTCCTTACTTTAGCAAAGGAAAACCAGTCTCCTCTTGGCTTATATCGAAATCCTCCGACATTCTTCTTTACAAATCCTCATTTGTACTTCTAATTAGTGACCGTTGTTTTGTTTTGTCCTACGTCATCCGCCCGGAACTGCTTCCGTGTACAACAGTGAGCGCAAGCTAGATTAAAGTGATTATTACGTTTTGAATATGGATACTTTTCTTAAAAAAACGCATCGATTCGCTACAGAAGACCTTTGTTCACCCCCCAGAGCCATGTGAGGCACCTTTTATTATGGATGCGCTTTATTTAACTTCTTTTGGACTGAAGCACTGCAACACCCACTGAGTGCCATTAAACAGCTTGGAAGATCAAAGACAATTTTTAATATAACTCCGATTGGATTCGTCTGAAAGAAGAAAGTCATATACACCTAGGATGCCTTGAGGGTGAGTAATTCATGGGCTAATTTTCATTTTTGGGTGAACTATCCCTTTATGGTCTTTTAATAATTAGTTTTTGAAAATTTGCTCATTGTGACTCGTTTTGCCAGAACAGGTCACAAATGTGTTTTTGTGTAGTTTAAAATATCTTGTATTGGTGCTCTTTTTAAAAAACAAATTGTCTATTTCAGTTATTATACGGGTTGGTATTGTTTTGGTGAATGTCTGTTTGTCAGATTATAAAAAGTGTGCCCCTACGAAAATGAAAAGTGTTCAGAATTGGGCTGAATGCTTTTTTTGTACCGGGGGACCCCCCTCAAAATGCAATTGGGCTTGGGCTAGTTTTGAGTAGCAATTGAGCGGGATTTGTTGTGAAAACCTGGCAACCCTGAATGAAAAGCTCCCTCCCCCCACCTATTTCTCCTTCGGAGACAGCATTCCAAGGCAGGAAGGCATCAAGGCACGTCCGAATCCAAATTCTGCTTTACTTCCTGTCTCCGGAGGTACCTTCTTCTGATCGAATTTTGAAGGCAGCATAGATGTATCCTTCGCTGCCTTTGATATCCCACAATCCTGTGCGTTCCATTCCGTGACGGTTGAGCTAATAAATAAAGATGGCGTCTGAAAGTTGCGTTTGGTGGTCAGTTTGTGTGTAAATGTATATTCCTGACTAAATTTTTGCACTTTTGATGTTATTTCTAGCGAGAAATCAGTATTATAGTAATTAAACATTCGTTTAGTTATCACCAAAACTCGTTCTATTTTGGTGTAGATCATTAAACCGTTACGCTGCCTCAAAAGCCTGTCCGAAATCAGTTTCATGAGGTGCCTTCGTACAAAAACGCTGCCTGCAAAGTCATTGCCTCATACGGCAGCAAGTCAGCTGCCTAAGTTTTCGGATGCAGCCTATGTTGAGCAGGGGTCCGGTTTCCCGCGTTTGCTTTTACACCCAGTCCACGCGTGTGCTGGCGCCTCACCCCAGGGTGTGCACGAGCAAACCGGGTGCCAGGGTGCCGGTAACCAGATGCTGCTCCGCGGCACAACGGAAGCAGATCGAGTCCTTCGCGGGAATTGCGCTTAGCTTACACAACCCGCGAAGTCCTATGCACAGACTCGCAGAATGAAGCTTCACGAAGAAACTTCACTTGACCGTCGGTATTGAACCGCGAATCATTGTGACGTCACTGAGAGCAGCCGGTGTCGTGCCGAAAACTGATTGCCGTCTGTAATCACTTTTTGGCAAGACTGAAACTGCAGGTGAAAAGGTAAAAACAGGTAAAAAGGACTGCATGAGCTAAATGACTTGTTTTAGTGATATATAGCCCCTATTTTTACAGATGCTATATAGCACTTTGTCAAACGGTGCCATGTAGAACCATAAGAGGTGCCGTATAGCACTTTTTCTCAACAATGGTGCACCAATTATAACTCATCCATGGCATATAGTTTAGAAGAGAACCAAAGGGTTATTGTCTATTTTGTATTTTTATATACTTATTTTTATTCACCTATTTCATTTTATTATCTGTGTCTTGTCGCTGTCATTCTGTCTGTGCACTGGAAATGAGACCGCAGCTCATTATAGTCAGCACAAATATCCCTCAAAATATGTCTTTGATTAAGATGTGTTTGCCCAAGTTCAGCAATTAGAGCTCATTATACAAAATGTGCCCTCCGTAAACCAGTTGGAAAAATATTTGCTGAATAGGTCTAAGAAGTTAAATAGTTGAAGAAAGAATGAACTAAACGAAGGCTGAATGAAACAGAGACTGAAAATAAAGAGATTGAAGAGTGTAAATGTGGTTGGGCAAGATAACGAAAAAGCTGTGATAAACGTTAAACGCTATAAGCCCAAAGGAATAAAAAAAAAAACAGCATTGTTTTTGTGCAGTTCAGCTTTATTTATAAAGCACTTTTAACAATGGAGACGTCTCTATATAAGCAGCTTTTCAGGAAATCCGTCCAAACACAAACTCCCAGAGAAATCAGTCTCTTCAGACTGATACATGAAGTAATGAGAGGAGAGTTAGTGATCAATATTTACTCGTCTGTCAATATTTATAACCTTTGTTTGTTTGTTTTTTAATTCCTTGGCGGAAACTGGCTTCCATACGTTTCAATAGAATCCACGCCATCGGGGAATTAATGTGAAGGCGTGATACTGAATTTGTGTCGCCAACATCCAGTAAATTCAAAATAAATGAGAAAATTTCATGTGAAATCATATTTCCCAAGGGGTTCTAGTTGGTCTAGGATTTAAGCTTCCCATTAATTAAGAATTCGTTCCTTCATTGTAAGCCATTATATATCACATTTCCTCATTTTAGTTCAACTGTGGCCAAATTAGTACAACGTGGCCATAATTAATTTTTAATTCGTGGCCACTGTATATATACATGCAATGTTAGTATAACACATTACAATTAATGCAAGTTACGTAATCAGATTACTTTTTCAAGTTAACTTATAAGAAAATATCTGCGTTACTTTTTCAAATAATATGTGTTCCAATACTTTTGTCCATATAGTCGCCACAACTTACATTTAAGCAGATAATGATATCTTTATAAAGCATATGCCCTTCTGAAGGAGAAAGTAAAAGCTTTCTTTTATCTCACTGCCACACGAACATCTCAAACTCGGCAGCCATAGGGAATAAATCCTTGGAAGGGAGTTTAACTTATTAACTGCTTCTTTTAGAGGTAAAGTCATTGATAAAAAGTTTTTTTAGAAGACGACTCGCTACCGAGATGCCAGAGCATTGGGTTATAGGGTTAACGTTGAAGTCCGTAACACAAACCAAGACACTGGCCATCGTTGTACAAAATAAGATTTAATAAGGAAACAAACACCCGTAAATAAGAATACTAAGGCAAAGGAAGCCAAATACTCAATTAGGACCAAACCCAGGAAGAATTTACCAAGAATTTCTTTGAAAAGTGTTTGTTTTATTCAGTTATCCTCCACGTGTTGGTTTAAACTGGACTAATTAGAACTGGTTTGGATTCTAGAATGTTCCGAATTCTCTAGAACTAGCTTTCAGTGGAGTGTCAAGTTAATACATTTGTTTCTTTCTTTACCCAGTGTTATACAACTCAACATACAGCTGTTTTTACACTGCAACTTCATATCTTTTCATGATACCATACTGAAACATCTTGCAATACTGGGATACACTGAGAGAGAGCCAAGAGACTGTCAGATTTTTTAAAAATTAATGCGCTTCTGTGAATCTCATGAAATGTCCAGGTCACATTTTAAAAAGGAATAAGAAATTATATTTTGCTTAAAAATAAAGCCTATCGATTCATTAATATGACAAGGAAATTAAATTCTCTCCTCAAGTTCTCATTACCGTAATAAAGATATATCATTTAAATTCCAAAGTACAATTTTAATCATGCATTACGGCGTTATGTGTTACACTGAAATTATGTTTTTAATAAAAAAAAGGACATGATAATAATTCTTATTGTATTATGGTATGAGATTTTTACACATTCTGATAAGAATTTGAGAGGAAATGTGCTGAAACGTCATGAAAATGAAACCTGTTTTAGGAATATTAATATCTGTTTGCATTGTGCATGTAATTTTACACCCAAATTATCATTATAAAAATGTATATCATATTCAAAACGGTAAATAATGGTATGTAAATGCTATTTTTAATAAAAAAGGACAAAATATATTATTACTGTATCACGGTAATGAGAATGAGATTGTAGCGCATTGTAATGAGAGGACAATTAAGCCAATTTCACAAGTTCTCATTACCGTAATATATTAGAAATATTTAAAATTGCAAATATGCGTTATGGTAGTATGTGTTAAACTGAATTTTTTAATGAAAAAGGATGTAAAAATGATCATTAGTGTATGAAGGTAATGAGATTTCTGGTGCATTACGGTAATGAGAATCTTTTCTTTTTTTGCATTACAATAATGAGAATTTGGAGAAAAAATGTGTTAGAATGCAAATTTTAATGGCTTCATTTTATTAATGCAAATTATAATTTTCTTTCTTTCGTATATATATATGGTGAATTATGACCCACACATTTCTTTTTCAGGCTCATGAAAATAGGACATTTTGTTTGCATTCACTCTGAATGTAGAAAAGAACTGAAATTCGCTGGTAATTCTGTGCAAGCACATTGGCTTTCATCGGTTTGGTGCTAAGGCAATGAAGTATATGCAATAGAATCAGCACTGGACCACCAATAAAGGAGAAAAAAAACCGGGTAGTCAGAATTGAAATTCACATTGTGCAAAGTTGGGCTGATTGCTTTGTGAAGCCAATACGAGTCAGTTGTGAGTGCGAGCAAACTCACACACACACTGCATCAGTAATCCAGCCTGAAGATCAAATCCAGTCCTGTCCGGTTCTGGAGAAGCCTCAGATGTGTCAGTATGAAGGTCAAAGGTCCCGTCGTCTCAGGATATCGAGGAGAACTCCTTCAGCAGGACGTCCCGACTCATGGTACTCAGAGACACGTTCTTCCTCACGTTCAGACTGATGGAGCGAACCTGCAAACACAAGCATCTGTGCATCAAAACTAACTCGTTTCCTGACGGAGATGCGTGTGTGTGAAGCTAGTCATAAATTCACTCCACATTCAAATTTAACGCAGCAGTGAGTTCCTCAGGGCAGAGGGACTGAGCTCAGAAAAAGAAGAACTGGGCTCATACAGAAATGTTCAGCTTTACAATATATATTAAACAGACAGTATTTAGACTGTTGAACACGTGTTATATATTTGCACATCATGTAACAGATGTGTTTATTAAACCAATAACTGAAATATACAAGAAATATGGTCATATTTGTGCAAGGTTATAGAATTAAGATATATAATTATTAATAAATTCAATAAAAATAATGATTAAAAATAACATTATAATAATAATAATAGTCTCACCAAATATGAATAGGGCTCCTATGAAATCAGGTTTTTTTTTACCCTGACATCAGTGTTTTTCTTTTTAATTTTTCTGGATTGTATTTTAATTAGGACGTTTAATCAATTGAATTCATAGAACTTTAGCAACGTATTAATTTATTACAAATAGAACAATAATATGAAATGAAATGCCCTATGATTTATTATTATTGTTGTTATTAATTGTTAGTAGTAGTACTTTATAGAAATTCTGTTGTTTTATTTTCCTGCATTTTGCGTTTTATGATTTATTACAAATCTATCAAAAACAATGTTAATGAAATGAATAATTAAAAACTAAAAAGTTTACAAATCTTTGAAATTTGAACAATCTTGAAAATGCCATACAACCACGATTTACAGGTGAAATTAAAACATGGATTAAAATGTGCGCAATATTGTGAGATATTCCTTTCAAAATAATGGTTTAACAAGCTGTATTATTATTATTATTGTTATAATTATTATTACTTTGAGAAGTACATTCTACTCTACAGTAGTAGCATATTTCTGTCATCATTTTTGGTTCACGTTAAACTGAACGTTTATGTTGCTGGGTTGTAGCGGAGACCCGTTTGTGTGCATCCGATGAAAGTTTTCTCAAAGCAAACGGTGAAGTAACTCCCAGAGCATCTCTGGAGACGAAGTTTCACTGAAATCCACCAGATTCTGTGGCGTTCTGCGATTTCGCCCAACGTTTTGTCGTCTTCTGTACCATTCAACCCATAGTTAATGTAGCCAAAGGAAGGAAGTAGCTCGTCAAGCAAACTCAAAAGCTTACCAGCTCCTTGAAAAAGCCGGCCTCTCTGGGCTGCTCAGAGTAACGCTCAAACTGATCCAGACCGTCCTGTAGCTTCAAGGTTAGCGTGTCGTAGTTCGAGCGCACCACCTCCAGCACCTACAGATGAGAAAATTACATAAAACCCAGACACAACTACAAGAAATCTTCCAGGTTTAAGACAACAATGCACCGACCGAAATCCACTTACAATGAAAGACTCTGGCATATTATCTGTTTTATAACAGTGGTCCTGAACTGAACTACAGGAACACATTTAAACAGCTAGTGGAGTGATCACATGACTACTGATATAGTAGTCTATATATATCTATATATATCATACTACAGATATGAACCACCACAACTGGCACAAGCTCTCTGTTGATCAATTAAGATCGGTAGTAGTTTGCAAACTTCACATTCATCTTTTAATATCTAACATATAATATTTGCTTACTTGTAGTCGGTCAAATACAGGAAATGGACCAAAAAAAAAACCGGTTTGTCTCTGCGTTAACACTTGTGGTTTTATAATTTATATTTTAGAGTTTCAAAATGTTGACTTTTAAAATCATTAGATTTTGTTTACATTACAAATGTTATGAAAAACTGCATTTTGTCCCTGTATTTTAAAAAAATTGAGCTAAATATAAAAAATAAGATCAATACAATGGTATTTTATTACATTTTAATAAAGTACTTTATTAAAATGTAATGATACATTTTAAATGATATTTAAATAATAATTTTTCTGTCATTTTACCTTAATATTTAGGTAGCATTTTTGGTGGATTATTTTGGTATATGTTTTACTAAAATGTAATGGTATTTTACTACATTTTAATAAATATTTTACAAAAAAAATAGTATTTTTGAAATAGTAATATTTAAATATTATTATCTGCCATTTTACCTTAGAAAAATGTTTTGGTAGATTATTCATTTTAAACAGTTTTTAAAAATATATATATATTTTTTTTCATTAAACGTAATGGCATTTTAGTACATTACTACTTTGATGAATATTTTATTAGAATGTAATTGTATTTTTTTTTAAATAATATTTTCTGTCATTTTACCCTGGGAAAAATATTATTCCGTTTAAAAAAAAATTTTTTTTTTTTTTTCATTAAACGTAATGGCATTTTAGTACTTTACTATTTTGATTAATATTTTATTAGAATGTAATTGTATTTTTTTAATAATATTTTCTGTCATTTTACCCTGGGAAAAATATTATTTATTAAAATTATTTATTATTTTTATTTAAAAAAAATGTTTTTATAAACATTAATTTAATTTAACTCAAATTAAATGTATTTTATTACATGTCACTAAACATTCTATTAAAATGTAATTATATTTTTTGAAATAATATATTTCTGAAACAATTATAATATTTCCTGTCACTTTACCTTGAAAAAGGCAATTTGTGGTTGATTCTTTTGGTAGATCTTTTAAAAGAGACTCCCAAGTTAGATTCTGAAAGAACTCAGGGAGGCTTAGACACTCCTAGACCCCTTGCAAACTGCAATTGTCTTTCTTTGTTAGTACGTATTGTTTATTTCTACAATATGAAAGACAAATCAAAACAGTTCTCTGAGGCAATCACGGAAAGACATTGTTTCAAAGAAGCGTTGCCACAACTACAAGCTGTTTGAGGTCACATTGTGCGCAGTAATTTTAAATCGAATGGGTCTGGAGTTTAACTGGGACACTCCAGGGCATGAAAAGGGCTGATGGACCACAAATCCCCAAACTTAAACTAAACAAAGAGAGGCTGGACAGAGGTCTGTTAGAGGGCATGCGAGAGCATCTGGCAAAGCGAGATAAAAGAGACGAGAGTTTGGGACTGCAAGCGACAGCTGGCACAACCGTCTGTAAAACTGCCCTCACTTCCAGCACACGGCATCATTACCCTACAGATCAAAGGCTAATTAAGCAACACCTGTGACCGTCCCAATCAGCCGCTTTCCTACACACATATACAGAGTTTTGCTCATTCAGATTCAAAACCAATTCTCTCATCTGACAGAATTGAGTTAAAGTCGGGCGATAAGACTGTGCCACAGTACACAGGTAGTTATGCAAAAACTATGGGTGCATGTAGATGCATTAAAAAAAGCTAACTATAGCCATTTTACTCCAAAAATGTCATTTCCAGCATAAAATGAATGATAATCTGAAATGTTGTGGAAATTACATTATACTGCTTAGGTTGCTGTACAAAGTATTATATATGTTTTATTATTAATCAATTATAATACATTCATATTATTACAATAATGTTACTATTATGAATTAAATACACACATATATATATATATATATGGGTCAGAGACGTTACGATGTCTGCATCAAAAGAAATTTACTAAAGTGATTTTATGTCCATAGAAAGAACATTAAATGTAAGTAAAGGGTCTACTTTTAAGGTTTCAAATAAGTTTTTGGAGAATAAAATGCCAAAATTTGGTTGAAAAAATGTTACATTATGTAACACAATATTTATGTAAAAATTCAAACAACATGCTTATTCTGACGTGTACATATTAAAATATATAAAAGAATAAGAGAGCATATTAAATTTTACTGTGTTTTAAATGAGTAAAAATTCTTACTGACAAATGTGCAAAACCTAGGATAGTGGCACATTTAAAAAAATGTAAAATTACAACTAATTAGTATTTGGGGTGATTTTTTTGTGTTTCATAAAAATTCCCACTCTTCTTTCTTGGCAGGTTTTCAAGAAAAGTCAAAAGATTAAAATACTGGCAAGGAACTGAACACACAACACCTCTGTTTTAAATATTTTTAAAGGTTTATATATTTATTTTATTTATATATTTATTTTTTTTATACTTTATACCATTAAAAATGTTTGGGGTCAGTAAGATTTTAATATTTTTGAAATAAGTCTTCTGCTTTTTTTGGTTAAAAATACTGTAAAAACAGTAATACTGCAAACATTATTTGAATTGAAACAGTTTTCCATGTGGATATATTAATTTATAAACTGTAATTTATTTCTGTGATCAAGGCTGTATTTTCAGCATCATTACTCCAGTCTTCAGTGTCACATGATCTTCAGAAATCATTCTAATATGCTGATCTGCTGCTCAAGAAACATTTATTATTATTATCAATGCTGAAAACAGTTGTGTGGTTTCATACTTTTGTGGAAACCAATAAACCTTTTTTAAAACAAATAAGAATTAAAATAAATGAAACGTTCAAAAGAACAGCATTACTATGAAAATCTAAATCTTTTATAACATTATAAATGTCTTTACTGTCACTTTTGATCACATCCTTGCTGAATAAATGTATTTATTTCTTAAAAAAAACCAAACTTTTGAATGACAGTGTTTTAATAAATAAGAAAATTACATCTAAATTACGCTATATTACAATGAGGCTAAAAGTTAATGTTCTGTGCGTAAACTCATTAAAGTCTGTTTGAACGTAAGAGATCAAAACGTTACATGACTGTGTAAACCGTCCATCTAAACCGTTACCTGATCTTCTGAGAGCTGTGAGATGTGGTTCACAGCGGCGTACGACTCAATCTTAGGGTTGAAGTGGTTAATAATGGCTCTGGAATTACAGAAACGGGCAAAATGAGGAATATTCTGAACATGTGACGGGAGCTTCACAATAGAGTTCCTGTGTGAGAATAAAAGGTAGCGTTACAGAGGACTTTCAAAGGTGTGGCTCTTTTAAATATTCTGCAGTAATGCATGCTGCAAAAAACCAGCGCTCGACTTCTTTTGTGCGGCACAAACACATGGTGACATCTCTGAAAGCCCGGAGAATGCTTCCACATTACCTCAGACTCTCAAATCAATAATTAATTCACCACCAGGCCCCTCGCACACTAACCGAAACAAAGACAAAAACACCCACTTCACTAAAGCTGCCCAATGTTAGTCACACACTTCAACTAAACCACTCAAACTATGATTATGACCTTTCACCATTTCACCCATGTTTGAAATATAACTGGCATGTAAATGAAAGTACACTGTATAAATTAGACTGTATATTTAGTATGATTTTTATTATTGTTTGCTTGTTTATACAATTAATGCTTTTTATAATCTAACTCGCATACAAAGAAAAAACAAAACAAAAACAAACAAACCAAAGACACAAAACAAAAACTATATATTATATATATAAATAACTAAATCAAACGGAAAAAAACAAAATCAGAACCAAAACTAAATAAATAAAAGAACAAAAACAAAGAAGCAGAGAAAAAAATAAACAAAAACAAGGACAAAAAACAATAAATAAATAAGAATAAAACAGTAAAAAAAACAAAAGAACAAACAAAAAGCAAAGGGGAAAAACAAAAAAAGAAATCAATAACAAAAATAAATAAACCAATTAAAACCAAATACAAATCAAAGGAGGAAAATAAATAAATAAATAAGGTTTTTTTTACCAAAAGCTATCAAAAGCTAGTCATAGACATCAACTATTATCATCTTCCACAATTTCAACATGTAAATCAACAATTTCTCATATATAACATCTTTATAAAATAACTGCCATGTAACCTGAATTACATTATATAAATCACCTATATATTTAACATTATTTTATTATTAATATTATATAATGCATCTTATTTCAGAATACTTAAATCCGATAATTTAAACAAAGAGTACTATAAATCCTCTCATTGTTTATAGTGAAAGTGATCTAGAATGAAGGTGAATGTGAGCGCTCTGACCTGACGTTGACGAGAGCCTGAGTAACTTTACTAGCAGGCTCCTTCCACTGGCCTGCGTTGGTGGAGACTCGCAGCACTGCGGCGTCATGAAGATCAGGTTAGTGCTTTAGATATGATGGATGAAAATAAACATGCATGCAGCAGGACTGAGCTCAGCTGACTTACCCATGCAGCAGAGGTTATCAAACACCTGATGCATGCGTATAATCTCATAATAGAGCTCGTCGTAACTGCTGGGCGTGGGCAGAAACGTGTCTCCATACGTGATGAACATGTTAAAGAGGTTCACCACCTAAAGCACACAAAAACATGTCAAGCAAGGTGAGAAATGCCCAATCTGTACTTAAAAACATGACAGACCGCCGCTCGCAGCGAGTGTGATTTACCTGGAGAGCCAGCTGGAAGATATTGTGCTTCGCCAGAAGGATGGTCTCATTAGACAGCAGGAACTTCAGAAGGTTAATGAGAGCTGGAAAACACAATCAATACATACAGCTGTCTGAAGAAACACACTGAAGTAATCACTGTCTTGGCCTGTGACTCCACACAACTGCTAGTATATTATATACATAAATAAAGAGCTACAAAAACAAAATGAAAAAATAAATAATTAAATCAAAAGAACAAAAAGCTCAAGCAAAAGAAAAAACAATGAAGAAATCAAAAACTAAAGTGAATAAAAAAACCAGAAGAACAAAAACAAAACAAATCAAAGAAAAAATAAAATGAATAAAAGTAAATAAAAACAAGAACAAAAAACACAAGCAAAAAAAAAAACTAAAACAAAAGCAACGGAAACGGGGGGAAAAAGAAATCAAAAACAAAAGTGAATAAAAATTATTTAAAAAGCAGAACAACAAAAAAATAGAAAAATCTAAGAAAAATGCAAATAAAAATACAATAAAAAATACATAAAAACAAGAACAAAGAAAAAACAGGAAAATAAAAATAATAAAAGACAAAAGACATGGGGGAAAAATTTAACAAAAAGAAGTGAATAAAAATAATTAAACAAAAAACTGAAGAACAAAAGAATAAAGATATCAAAGAAAAATAAAATGAATAAAAATAAATAAAACAAGAACAAAAAACACAAGCAAAATAAAAAATCGAAAACAAAAAAAAAACTAAAACAAAATCAAAGGAAAACATAAGAAAAAATCAAAAACAAAAGCAAAGAGAATTGGGGGGGGGGGGGAAATC